TCGAGCAACTCTTCTTTGAGAAGGGCAACACATAGTTAGCTGTAGACGGCAATTGTTTTATCTCAATTTTTTTCAGAAGCAATCATTCAAAATGCAGTCATTCACAATTCGATTTGAAAAACTTAACGGCGAAGCACCCATTTAGCTCATAACATTTCGTGGCAAAATGTCGATGAATAAAACCGAAATACTTCCTCTTTTTGTACCTTGTCCTGCTTGGGACCTTTTTCCACCATTTAAAAATCGCGAGAACGCTTAAGCACTTCTTATGACGCAAGCCTGGTGACCAAAGAACTAGTGAGTATTTGACTGGCGTACTCTGAAGACCAGGCATTTGGGAGATCAAGCCCAGAATATTAGACGCTCCTAAATCTCTATCTCGGAGCTGGTCATTCCATGTTTCCACTGCTCTGGGGTGGGATCGTTTCATTATTGTCATTATCTTTTTTTCTACTTTTTTTTCTGCAACCTCGCTCGGTTTGTGCGACTCGGCGTATATTCGTGTTTGCATCGCCACACAAAGGAGAGATTGGGGAGGAACGTATTTTGCTATACCTTAATGGCTATTAGTGTAATATCACGCTCGAATTAGTCATGTAGGCCTAAGTGCATATTCTATCGAAGTCAAAGGTCACAACATATTCTCGAGATCTACCTTTAATTAACAAAGCCAAGAGTTGGCGTGGCGTAAAAGTAGAAGCAATCTGGTGGGAACAATTTGGCAATTTACAAAAGAGAAACTGAGGCATAAGTTAGCGTACAAACAAAATTATTATGCCAACAGATACTGATGAGAGAAGCAAATTATCCCAGCAAGTTGGTTCCCATTGATACCCCACATAAAAGTGTTGAATACTCCATGCACAGCGTGATCTTTATCTCACGAGCAGTTTAGTATACCCCAAACATGTAAATAACCTTTTGCGACTAGGAAATTATTGCATAGCTGCATAAAGGAGAACACAGAAAGCTTTGCTCCCCCCCCCCTACCCTCATGCTAGCGAGACGCCCTTGACAAGCTTGAGTGCTGACGAGCTGTGCGGCTCAGTGTTCCATATTCGACTCAAAGGAACAAGGTGCCCAAGTGGTGGTGCACTGTACCTACTAATACGATCATATGTGGTTTTGTAATCATTTAACGAACTTTCAGTAACACATTAAGACATTTAAGCTTAAAAAACAATATTAAAACATCACATTCGTTCAAACATGCTCACTATGCGAATACTAGTAGAGGGAGAACGGCTCCTATGACAATTAGTAGAGTGGTTGCACTGAGCGAGATACGTCACCAAGTTACTATCTGTAGACTTTGGTAAGGTATTTTGTGTACTTTTGCATTGCAGTTCTTAATGCATCTCGTGACACTAGCTTTATGGGGTGTTCATTGTTAGCTCAATGGAATTATCAAGATGCATTTTCTATGTTGAGGAATTACAGGAATGGAATTGAACTGCCAGGCCATTCCTGGAGTGGGAATGGGTTTTCTCATTCCAAGGAATTGGAAGGAATGAAATTGTGGGAAGCCCTAATTCCCCGGAATAGAATTAAAATGGAATGGAGGTGCCCATTCTGCAACACTGGAGTGTGTGATGTCATGTTGCTTTTATGTGAGCATGGCTGTTCATTTCTCATTCCCCCATGCACCTTCTTGAATAAACATTGGTACTGATTTTTAGATTGATTGATTGATTGATTGATATTGTTGTTGTTATCGCCTGTAGGTTGGGTTCCTCAAGAAACACATTACCGCTCCCTGTGTGGCAGCCTTCCATTCGGAGTATGAGGATACAGAAGGACTTTGCCAAAACAGACCGGCCTTCTCACGCATTGCTGCCCTTAGGGACAGCTTAGGTACTTATAGCACAATAGCACAAGAAACAGGCTTTGTAAATACTTTACTTGGCTAAGTTTCTTCATTTTCTTCCACTCAGATTCACCACTGGGCCATAAAAGCTTCAAAAATACGTGTAAGAGTGTTTTTTTTTTTTTAAATAAATTTATTTTATATCACATTACCTTCCACCAGGGAGGTTTTGAGCGCTGGGATTAATACCAAGAAATCTGCATGATTATATCAATTGTATGTTGCAGTAGCACATATCACTTCAGTGTTTCAGGTTACGCTGGATATACAATTGTCAAATACAAAGTTACAAGCAATAGAAATTGCATACAGTTGACATAGTGAAGGTGGTCTGCACTGATAGCAAAAATATACGGGACATGTAAGAAGAGTTAAAGACCCAACAGGTTGATTGTGTTTTTCTAGAGTAGTTAACCATATCAAACATTTGGTGCTAGAGTAGTTAATTATATCAAACATTTTGATGATAACTGTTTATCTACAATGTGAAATTAGTTTGAAGCTCAGGGAAAAATATTCTTAATTTCTTCCTTATTTTCACAGCCACAAATGCAAGCATTACACCCATGACTACAGGTTCGGGACCATCAGGTAACATTTATCTGACTGTGCTGTGCTGATCTGTTTCTTTTAGTAAAATTTCAGAAAGTAAAAAAAAATGCCGCAATTAGTAAACAGTTTTTCAAGCAATCTGCTGCACCTTTTTCTCTAAATGGGGTGCTACAGGTGGTTTGACACTACTGGATATTCAATGGAAGTTTGTAATCCTAGTTGACAGTGAAATTTCAATTTTATGACTGCACATAGTAAATAGTTTGGTTCTCTCCCCAAACCAGAAACTCTGCTGTGTGTGTTCTCCGAGCATCCTGTGATGCCAAGTTCTTTGCCATATGGCCTGTGCACGCACATCATCTACACAGGCTTAAGCTACGTAGCTGATAGCAAGAACATTGTACCTCTTGATGGTAAGTTTGTGTCACTAGTGTTCCTTCACCGCACATTATCATCTTCACATCAGTGCTTAGAATTACTTGCAGATTGTCATGTTGGTCCTTTCTACAATTTCACTTTGTACAAACCACGCCTTTAAAGGGACCCTGCAAAACTTTGCCAAGCAATGTTCAAATGAATTCAGTATGGTAGCTTATTGGCTCGTGGATTGACTGCCGCAAAAAAATTTTTAGAATCTATCAAGTACGAGCAGAATTACAGTCGAACCTCATTGTAAGAGAGACTAATGTAAGAGACAAACAGGTATAAGAGACACCAGAGTGTCCATATTAAGATAAGGATTGATAAGAAAATGCATACGTGGTACGTTGCTTGTAAAAACACCTCCTATGGAAGACAAGGATGGCTGCCGGGTGCGTGTCTCTCATTAAGGGGTATAGAAAAGGTATAAGGTATAAGGGGTATGCAGCTTACTTGCAGTGGGATTGCAGGCAGGTGCGCAGACTTGTTGTGCCATCCCGAGATTGCTACGGTAACTGTGCAACTCATGATGCTGATCTCTGCCGATGACCATAGACATTAAGTCTATGGCAAAACATTTATTAGTTTCTTTACTTTAAGTGTTTATTGCTCTAAAAATGTGCTAGAGTGCTTTAGTATTTCAGTTTAGTAAATAGTTGATTTTTTTGTACTTGCTAAAAGTACTAACGCTTTTTTCATTCCAGAATCTGCTTTTGAGAATTTCCTGAACCTAAAGAAACAGGCACGACTGTTGGCTGCAGTCCCCTTCGACACAATATCTAACCTGGCAAACACTTCAGATGTGGAATCTTTTTCGAACGTCGTCTCCTCATGGTTGATGAAGAATGACCTCATGGGTTTCGCTTTGTTTTCAACTCACAACAAAAATTTTGAGGATGTGTATGCTGTCACCAAGGTATGCCACTGTTTTCTCACTGGTGTGTCTGGATGGTTAGCTCGTAATCTTTTTGCTTAATGCAAAAAAATGTGCTAGGTTTATGTGGTTTTGAATTAGTTTTCTTTTTTGTTGGAGTGCTAGCCAGAAAAGGTGCATTCATCAGCGTTTAGCTGAAGTGTCCATATATTGAATGACAGTACGAATGCAAGACTCAAAATGGATTGAAATATTCTTCTTTCTTTTCGTTTTTTAGACATTGCCATATGAAGCCAACAGATAAGCGAAAAACATTATTGAGGGTTAATCAAGGATATCCTGAAATAGACTGAACATTGAGGAAATTTTAATACAAGCCCAAAGTTATAACTATGGCCCTAAATTTAAATAGTGCATCAACATAAAGAAAGTCAACAGAAGGTCCTCAGAAAACTTTGTACTTGCATATCCTCATTTGTTGATAGCGCTTTGTTATCTGCTAATCAGGGTAGTTACTATAGGCATAGGTAACGATGACGATCAGATGAAAATAAACGGGCTGGCAACTTGAAAGCCAGAACACTGATTAGTTGAATTTGTACTGCGGAATCCTGTTCTGTAGTGTGCGACATTTCAACAGATACGAACTGTCATCATATTTCTTGTCTTTTGAAGGTTCTCCGTTGGCAGTTCATGAACCTGAAGTTGAAGCACCTGCAGCTGATTTTTGGTTCCCCCATTCATGTCATCACGCCAACACTTCTCCGTATTGCAGAGTGAGTAAAGATTGAGACAGCAATAACTGAGCACTGCTGCTTGGGAACATTACAACTTCATATTTTATCTATACGTGTAATGAGCCTAGGTATTCTTGAGCGAGTTGGGGTGAAAATAGGGGATGTCAACGTTACACAGAGAAAGATTTTTCTAACATCTTCTCGTTCTTTCTCATTGCAGTACCGTAAACTATCTGGTGTTCATACACCATGATCCAGTACACGAGTCATGTCGCCTGGAAACGATGCTGACAAAGCAACTGGGGAAGCACGAACTGGTATTGATTTGAGTTATCATTTCTAGAAGGGAAAACACTGCTGAATAGTATTCGTGTGAAACTAAACTCTGTTATGATTAACTTTCATTTCCGTGGGTTGCAACTAGTAAGCTGGAAACTAGTAAACACTCTCTGATTATTGTGTGGTCTGCATTCCTGAACATTTTTATTATTGCGCGATGTTGAGTATCAATTTTATTTTATTATGCCATTCTGGGGCCAGGTGGAGACTGTAAACCTTGCAAAGAAAATCAAACTGGAGGTGCCATCGGCAACGTTGTGCCTATCACTCAGTCTGGCAGTAGTGAATATGCCAACAACAGCGGAAGGCCATCAGGAACTAGTTCCATGTGGAAACAGGACACTCTCTACTTACGACAAGGTTTGTAGATCTTTGCTCCCTTTAACTTTTCATCTGCGAAGCGATCATTTGCATTCTTCTAATTGAGACTTAACAACTTGAGGGGCATATCATGAACTTGTTTTACTTAATTAGACCAATTGACTAATCTATCTTAGGTGAGGGTCATTCTTACTGTGATATTGTGGGATCCTTGCAGGTGTGCTCCATGAGCCAGGCAGCTACAGTTGTGGGGAAAGACTTTTCCGGTGTGTACCATCAAAGTGACAATGCAACTTTCTACTTTGAGAATGAAGAATCCCTTCTTGAAAAGGTACTTCCACAACTGCACCCTTGGAACCACATGAAATATTTTTTTCTTTTCACCCAAACACATGTAAGATAAGACCGACTGGACCTTTTTGTCTTTGACATGCAACTTCTTTATTACAATTATCAATGACAACAGTGGAATTTTTTAATGGTCTTCAAATATTGTTATGAGTAAGCCTGACTGTATGAGGCAATTAGTATAGTGTCACAAACATTGTAGAAGATGCTTCAATTTTTTTTTTCGTTTTAATATACCATAGTAACTCTGTCTCCTTGACCCTGTTCTCTCAGCCTTCAAGTTGCAGGCTCGATTCGAAGCCATAGTGACCACATTCTAATAGAGATGCAGTGTGTAAAACTGTGTTTTGCGTGCATGTTGATAGTCTGGAGCCCACCGCTATGGCATATCTCGTAACCTTGTGGTGTGTTTTCCGAGGATGATAAACCAAAGTGTTAACGTAATTTGGCAACATTATGTGATTTCCTGCTTTTTTTTTTTCAGGTTTATGCTGCTAAGAAACTTTACCCACTGAAATGTGTTGCGACTTTCTACACTGACTTTGAAGACTCCACTGGGCTTTGTAAAACAAAGGCACCATTTTCTCGGCTAAAGCAGATTTCAAGGGCATTGGGTGAGTTTACGCTATGATACCCTAGAAAGTACAAGGGTCATTCAAAAAGTAAAGGCTTTTTGGTTGGCGGGTTTCTGTTGGCAGGTTTCTGTTGGCAGGTTTCTGTTGGCAGGGTAACGTAGCAACTTTTGTAATGTGTATGTGCATATTTGCCAGTGTAAGAAACTTGAAATGTGAGATATGTGACAGAAGAAATTTTTTTGTGTGTATGCTATAACAACATTATAGGCAAGTTTGAATGATCGCCAGGGGAGTTTTTAAGATGCCAGTGATCCCAGTGACCGTACCAAAACTTGTTATTATGAAGTGCATGCATGAATTTGTTATAGAGAGACAAAATGTGTAGCGTCCTGTGACAGCATCCCCAATCTTAATATAGCTTTTTACACTTCAGCATAGTGATGTAGTGACTGTTGCTTATAAATCAAGGTCAGACTGTCTTGTGTGCATGATTTTTTGTCCCACTTCCTTTCTTCCTTCCTTTCTTAAACATGCAACTCTTGGTGCATATGACCTGGCTAGTTCGGCTTCTTTGACACATCTGGCAGGCAGTCTGCTTTATTTGCGAAATCAACTAAGTAAGCAGATATTTTCCGGCACAAACAACCAAAAAGAACATGCTAACCAAGTTTACACAATCGATGATATTGATTAAAATGGTACCTGTGGGCTAGTTGGTTGGTCAGACTACGATAAATGGCAGCCCACACTGGGTTTAGAGAAAAACACGAAACACAATAAGGATGACACAAGCGCTGAGCGTATTACCACCTGTGAGCTCTTGTGTCGTCCTTTGCCTGTTACGTGTTTGTGTCTTGACCCGGTGTGTGCTGCCATTTATCGTCACAATGACCGTATTTACTCACCTAATAAATGCACTCGCATAACAAATGCACTCCCAACTTAGTCATCGAAGTTTGGATTTTTTTTCCCCCGCGTAATAAGCGCATCTTCTACATTCATTTGCTGCACTGCAGTACCGCAGTCCCGCTAACCGATACCTGGCGCCTCCTCACCCGTTCTTCTCTTCCGTTTTTTATTACTTTGCAGACTCCCCCCCTCAACCACCTCGGCTCACTGCCCCCTTCCCCTTTTGCCCATCGCCGCGTGCCTGTTGCTTTTCTTACTCTCTGTGCGCAGCACGTCCCGGTGTTATCCATGTGTCACGTCGCAATGGGGTTTACTAGGGGTGTGAGTGTAGCACAAAGCGAGCGAAGATCACCAAGCTGCTGGCACCAACCCCCTTCTTTTTTAGCTTATTTTTTTCTTCACTCTGTGAGCAGCCCGGGGTCAGCTTGCAGAAGATGGCACCATCAACCACCGAAAATGAGTAAAGTGCAACAAAGAAGCTGCTTCCAAGCAGTGTACACGTATCTAAAAGGCGAAAGGCTAAGCGACCTAACTTTTTTTTTTTTTGCAATACCGCATTTTTTTCTTCTCCCGAAAAAGTTTTCATAAAATTTGCCCCGCATAATAAATGAACCCCCCCAACTTTGCTCTGATTTTTTTAGAAGAAAAAAGTGCGTTCATTACGCACGTAAATATGGTACATTCTAAATAAAGTGGTGCAACAAAACATTTTAAATTTCTTACAATTAACTCAAGGTTTTAATTATCATAGTTTGTACTATTGTGGTTCTACTGTTCATAGTTCGATGGTAAAGCATCGCACATAATGTGAAAAATGCTTGTTTGGCTCTCACTTGCACTGAGTTGGCTCTCTATTCACCTTCATTTTGATTTTATTTGTTATATCTAAAACTTTTTTCTTTGAGCTAGTTCTTTCAATGTTTTCTCTTTCTTCATTGTCACTTAGCTTCATATTATTGTAACAAAAAATAGGTGCTTTTTTTAATTTAGTCACTCTAATCTAAACTTTAAGCAGTTTTCTTTTCCTTTTTCTCTTGGAGTTCTTTATTCATTACTTAATGTATGAGGCACATTTAAGTTATTGCACATTCAGTTTCAATGCTAAATTGAAAGGGGATATTGTTTTGTTCTGTATGTTTCTGTGGAATAAGTATGTCCACAGCAATTTGTTGTATGTGCACTCCTATCGGCCCCTCTACTGTAAACATTGTCTTAAGAGCATACGGCTTTAGTTTATTAGGAGAAATACCACTCGAAAAGAAAAAGAGGAGTTGTTTCTGTGTTATTTACAATTACTATTTAAGCTCCATCTTAAACTTGTTCAGTGTATATTTTATATGTACTGAAAATTTTATGCTAATTGTGAACTCTTTTCCAGGTTACCATAAGACAATGAATGAACCAAGTAAGTTGGCATGCTACCCATTAGTGACCATATTTTGAGACCACATTTTCTGTGCAGTTACTGCTGTTGAAGCCAAGCATGGAACATCAAATGCCTCTCGTAAGTAATGAAGTCTATTTAAGCATTAAAACTGAGCTGTTTGTAATAACTTCAGTAATGAAACAACAAAATATGCAGACCATAAAGAGTGCCAAACGATTTGAGATGCTTTCTTTTTTTTGGGGGGGGGGAGGGGGGATATGCTTGACCTGAGTAGCTTTCCAAAAGTCCAGTTGTTTTGATGGTACACAACTTTCCATTCGTTTAATGATGAGAATATAATTACCCAAAGGAAATGTTTTTCTTCTAAATGTAATTTTTAATAAGCTGAGAATATTCATATATAACTAAAAATATATTTTTTTAAACTTTTTCGGCAATAGGGCACAACACTAAAAACAACACTGAAAATGAGTTTCACGGACAGATTTGTTTTGAACTTGTCAAAACAGATTTCATTAGATGTGAAACATGGCTGACCATTAGGCATAGACTAATATTTGAGTATTTCAAATATTTGATTGAATATTGTAAAATTGAATTTGTTTTGGCCAAAAATTTATTATTCAAAATTAATGAATAAACATAAAATTGAATGCATATTACCCCTGTAAAGGTGTTTCACTGCAGTGTTAGATTGCTATGCTGTGAAAATGTCTTTTCAGGAGAAATCTGCATAACTGCAAAATCACACTTCTAAATTAAATTTATATATTACTTTCACCACAAAAGTTCCACGGTGTGTTATATGGTTTACAATAAAAGTATTCTAAATTAAGTATGTAACATGTTTTACTGCTTATAATTAACATCCTACTTCCATTCATATCTTGGTCTATTCAGAGCTGCTTCCACTTCACTTCAAACCGAAAAAATGACATTTGGGCATGTGTAGTTTCAGTTCTTAAAAATGTTGTGCAAGTTGGGTCATGACAGAAATGCAAATTTTTAATATTATGCAATATATACAGGGCTCCGTGTTTCCGAAGTTCATATTTCTTGAAATTTGGGGGGGGGGGGGGGTGTATTTTCCAGAGTTTAATATTTTGGAGGAAATTCCATGGTTGTTCTAGTTTATTTCTCGTAAATCTCCAATTCTGCAAAATTTTGTGTTTTTTTGCAATATAAATTGTTGCAATGTCTTCTCAGTAAGTTTGTTTCTAATGAGAATGTGTAGTGCTCTTGCTGATGATCCTCTTTCATTCTATCCTTAATTTTGTCTCACATCCTGTTCACGTGTACTCTGACTCTTTTGCTATTGCTTTGCACTATTGTAAACCTTCAAAGTGTATCTTAGGGGGTAGTGGCAGCTGGTCAAGTTTGCTGATTCTCGTCTTTATTATTATTATTATTATTATTATTCTCAATACTTCGAAATGTTAGATGTACTAATCATATCTGAACATGAAAACATGTGAACACGCTAAGTGCGTTTAGATGCCTGAAAGGTTGGAACATGCAAGCACCAAGTTACTGCACTGATGGAGGTGCACTCCTTACGAGTGATCATTGTCAGCTTTGAAAAAGCCCTTTAAATGTTGAAAATGCCCTTTTAAAGTCCGAGTTTGTCGAATATATTCGAATTGCCAGAAATTTTACTGGTGAGTATTTATTTGATTTTTTTGGATATATCCAAAAACACGGAGCTCTAGATATATACCATCTGAACTATTCCGTTCAAAATTATTTGACTTAATCACTATTTGCCTCAAATTTGCATTGAATTTTAAATTCACTACTCGCTCAACCCTACTCTTTGTTTCATTTGCTGTTAACCTTCATGTATATTAACATTGAAAATGAGCACAGAATTACAGTAGGCGTTTGAAGAATTCCTACCAACATTCTTTATAGGCTATCCAACACAACTTGTCAATGCAAAAATGTGAGTGTGTGCCTGTTTGTGTGCACGCGCACACGTGTTGTGTGTATTTGTGTGGATGGTTAGGTAGGTGAGTGGGCGGGTAAGTGAGTGTGCTTACTACGTCTGAGGCATTGCAGTAGCGTTAACCTGACTTTTGCCATTTCCATCTTGCTCCTGCTTTTGAGATCTTGTTCAGAGAATGATGAAAAGGAGTTAACTTTATGAGGCTGCTCAATCATTCCATTATGCTCTTTTTTATACTTAGTTGAATAAATGAACTTAGCATTACTCACGGATAATATAAGACATTTTGTTAGGTTACAAGCGTGCACAAAATTTTTTGAGAGTTGCTTAAATGTAACTAATGGCTTTATGAAATTGAATATCTAGCATTGGAAAAAGCCTCTGATCGTATTCTAAACCATGCTTTGAATGTAAATGCAATGCTTGTGTGGTATGCATGTATCACCGGTTGCATTGCATTGTATATTAAATGTGTATAAGCTGAGCCCTAGATGATGTACTTATTTATAACCACAAGATCAACATTTAGTACACTACAAATAACACAAGAATATGTGGTAGCCGGAATGTCAGCCAAATATATCATACTTTCTAGAATTAGTAAAAACATTTATGATCCAATTACTGTTATTCAGTTGTCTATTGTACATGTGAATTTTTGGTAGGGCACTTGAATTGCAGCTTATATTGTGCAGAATTACGTAGAGCCTTAAAATCTTGGAGAAGCATCCTGATGTGGGTCATAGACCAGCAACCACTGTAATGAAAAAATGGAAAATTGTTGCAACGACGGGAAACCACCTTGGTGGCAAGCCTGTTTTCTTCTGGTTCTTTCCTTCCACATACTAGTATACTTTTATGTTACCCAGGATGTTGCCTAATTTTGATTATAACAAAATTCTATTGAAGTCGTTGATGTTAACATGGTGCTCATTTATATTACAGGGTCACTTGTTTGTGTGATCACCGACCACTACCCTGACTTTGACAAATTTCCCGTGGAGTACTGCGATTACCTGTTATTTGTTGACCCCAATGTCAGGTTCAGGAGGAATTCTTTCCGTGATTTCTTAGGCGGTATGTTTTCATTCAACTAGAAATATTTTCATTGTCCTTGAAACATTTCTTTGGAAACATAACACCACATCGAAGCAAATTCAATGCCCTTCAAGGAGCAAATTCACAATGAAATGTAGGTCACCATGGAAGCACAATTTGTCTGCATGTAAACTGCAGAGCGCAAGGCCTGTAGCTGTTGCCTTTTTACAGTGAAAGCTGTTATGAGATCACTTCCCAAGTCACGCGCAGTTGCACATTGTCAGTCGCCGCCGCCAGTGTTCGTAACCACATCGTGCGAAATTGGAAAAAGAAACCTTGCACTGATGACACAGTGGGGCTTGAACTCGGGTCTGCTGGGTGCCAGCCCAATATTTTGCCACTCAGTTACGCCGGTGCACGTAAATTGTCAAACTTGCCTTGGGCAGGCATGACCTAGCACCAATGGCACAGTGGGGCTCGAACTCAGGTCCGCTGTGTGCCAGCCCAGTATTCTACCACTGAGCTACACCCGGGCTTGAGAGTTGTTATAACTTGCCTTAGGCAGGCTTGATGTCGGGAAAGCAATCACGTTAATACGACTTATAAAGCGTTTTACAACAGCGAAAGAACAACCAGTCGTCGCACAATACAAATAGCGTAATGAGTGGGTCGTCCAATGCTCCAACCCATTAAAAAATGTTGTTCTTGTTTTTCTATTAACTGTGGCACATACCCACTTCAGCCTTAATTCCTCATCGTCGTCGGCCACTGCATGGACAATTGGCACAAAATTTCTTGCAAGTGTTTAGCAGATACCAGGCTTCTCAGAAGAGTGACGAAAAATAGCATAGTGAATGCCGGCCTACTACCCAAAAGCTTATTATTAATGCCCTAGTGGGTACCAAGCAAGTGTGCTTGCAGTAGTTACCCAATAAGCGTTTTGAAAAGGCTCTGAAAGGCCACTCTTCTAGCTTTCACTGTGACTTGGCTGCGCCTATCGCGCAGGCCTGGCATTTAAGTGGCTGTGATTGGCCAGTTTCACACCTTACATTCCACTGTTAACATTTGAACTCTTGAAATGTCTTAAAAAGTGAGGAACTCCGGATAATTGTAATCATTCAGAGTTGGACTATGATTAGTTCAGTTTCTTTTCATGATATTTCATAGAATGTAAAATATTTGTATGTGCATTTATGAATATTTGTATCCTTCGGGGTGTGTGCACTGATATTTTATTGTCATTCTGTGGCTTATGCTTTCTCTTTTTTGATTTTTTTGTTTTTCATTTTTCAGGGACATTTGAGACGTTCTTAAGCTATCGGTCACGACCTAACCTGCAGGCAATTATAGGATTTTTAATAATCAATGATAACTGGAAACTCCTTCTCTCAGACAGCATAAACTATGCTTTGAACTTGGGGAACTGGCTTCGAGAGAAAAAATTGGGTGGTGTGGCGTTCGTGATGCCAGAGGTGGCAGATACTATTGCAGAGCAGCTGCTCGTCTTTGTAAACGTAAGTTCTCCAATTTTAAAACGATTACATCTCACATTTTCCCATGGAACACTGTATGATTTGTAGGTTGTAAGCTCCCATCTTTTCTTACTCTTGTAGTTTACTGGCAGTGCATGAAAAAACTGGAAAAATTGCAGTGGTCATGGAAACTACTACTTTCATTGCACTACCTGTGTTCACATCAAGCATGAAGAATTTTAAGAATACTTCTTTATATAAGGAAGCTTCTGTTGGAATAGCAGATAAATCGAGTATGCAACTCATACATGAGAACATAATCCTTTAACCAGTGTCTGCATGTTTACAGCACAAAAAGGGTTTCTGAAAACACCAATAGATTATGAAAAATAACTGCTGGGTGACAAAATTTTATGCAAAAAGAAACAACAAAAATATGCTGCATGTGTTAGTAGATACCTACTAAACATTAGAAAAAGATCGGTCCTCCACTCCAAAAAGTACATATTACTTTTTGGAGTGAAGGACCGATCTTTTGCTAATGTTTAGTAGGTATCTACTAACACATGCAGCATATAGAGACTTTTGTGCAAATGTTAGTGTTTATAGAATAAAGCCTTGCAACATCCTAATCTTTGTCTGGATATCACACTTTTGAACTTAAAGAATACCTGTGGCCATATTACCACCAATGGACTAACAATGCCAAACATTTTTAACCAGATTTAAAAGAAACTGCTGTGAAAAAACAGGATGATGGCAGAAAAGAAACGAACACAACCTTTTTTTCCACAGTATTTTTTTCTTTTTTGACTTTGCTACTGTGGCAAAGGCCCAATTCATTTTGGCACTGCTTTTCTGAAGCAGCAGAAAGTTCAGTTGGGAGAGTAATTGTAAAGATGTGAAAGCAAGTGAAAATAGTTAGAATGAAGGTTGCATTAACATTAGTACCCGCAATGGAACACAGATTAATATAAACAATGCAAAAAAGTCCCAGAAAGTAGGAGCATTGTATTGATTACCAGTAGGTTAACAAAGAAAACATTAGTGTAAAGCTGCCACCTTGATAAGGGACAATTATGAATTGATTACCAATGTGTGGACCAAGAAAACCTTAGTGCAATGCTGTCATTTGGCTAAGGGACGATTAGTGGTGATAAGTCCCTATGTGCCAAAGAGAAGTTTGCTTTAACGGTGGTTGATCCAGCGCACAGGCGATGAAGACAAAGAATTAAAAACCACAAGTCAGGCACTGTCTTGTCTGGCTCAAGTTTCCAGTCTTATAAAAGTTTGCTTGCTAAAGCAGTCATGTTAAGCTGGAGCTTCCCTCATTTCTTTCACTAGCTGTTATTCATGACCCTCAGTATTTGTAGGAATGGTTAGACCATCTGTGCAAGCTACACAAATTTCTTGGCCTTGGTTTTTCTGCCCTCTTATGCATGCTTATAGAGCAGTGTTACTAGCCAAGATTACGTTTCATAGCACCACTGTTTGTTTTCATAGCTGTTCAAAAAGAATCATCCGGATCTAAAGCTCATTGTTGCTGCTCCTGTGACTGAAAAACCAAATGCTGTGCTTCCATTTGTTGAGTAAGTAAATAGATCTCCTATGTTCTATAAGGCCTTAGTTTTTTAAGCATGTTACAGGATAATTCGCAGGTTTCGTCACCTGAATAACAATTGAAGCACATTTTTGCCCTCAACCTCTTCAAACCCGAGGACCACGTGTTGACATTGCATACCATGGGGAATTTTCATTGCCTAGGGGTATGGTTACAATTTAGAAAAAAACTTCTTGTTTAAATATTTTTATTGGATGTTAAGGACAGCGTCTTCATGCAGACGAAAGCAAAAAAGAGAGAGCATTCCCTTAATGTCTCTGTCACAAAAATTGAATTGTTTTGTCTAAGCAGAAATATTAACATGTAGCACTGTGTAGTATGTGGGCATGCTAATGCTAATATAATGTGAACTTGCAACGATAGAAGAATATTTCTAAAGTGCCTTCATAATATGTGATGAAACAAATATCTAGAGGAATTCGGTGGGAATTTTTTATGAAATTTGAAAGCACTTCAAGCACCACCATACAGTTCCCTATTCACCTTATTCAGACAATAAGATCAATATTACTTAGCTGCTTTTGAGTTTATTTCAATTTGAAAATAATCAAAGCAAGTTATCCAATTGCTTTGAGACTGAAGAGGTTGAGATTTTTACACACTTTCTTCTAGTTCTTGCTGTTATGTTGTAGAATTCGGATCATTACTGAAATCATTCTGCACAGAGGCAAGTCCGGTATGAGAAAATGTTCAATAATAATTGTTTTGCAAACACAGCTTTTTCATTTGTCAGTAAAGTTTGTCACAAAAAGTTTAATATAGTGCACTTGCAGTTATTAGGTTAAAAAGCAGTAATGCATGCAGGATATAATGCGAGGGCGAGCACTTGAAACAAGGAGGCCGCTGTGTGCGGAGTGTTGGAGGTCATCTAATTTGCTTTGTTGTGGAGGTAGAACACAGGGAAATGGTGAAAGGAACTGCAGCGTGAAACGTGCTTATTTGCACATTAACAGCAATGTGTCTATGAGTGCATATATTTTGGTGTGCATGCTGCGCATGATTGGTTAATAAGAAAATCTGTGCTACCGCTCCTTAAAAATATGAGCCTTATATGTATTTTGCCAAACATGTGATACTATAACAGTTTTTTTAAAGCATGGATTTTTTTTTTCATTGGTGCCAAACTGTATGCACTACATATACATGAGCTTTTACAGTATGTTGCATCAGTAAAAACATGCATAAACATGTTTCATGTTTCTGTAAGCTCAAACTACAGCTGGTGACTGCAAGCGCATCATTAGTGTCCCCTCAGTACAATTTTTTTCTCTCATAAGACAAGGTTTTATAAAGCTCATGGTTTTAAACTTTGCAGAATTTTTACCTAGAAAACCATTCGTTAAGATGGACTTAATCTATTCACCTGGTATACATAACAGGTGAATAGATTAAACATAACACGGTCACTCCAGCATCATTGTCATGCATTTTTTTCTCCTTAGTGTTGTGGACATTCTGATATTCTTGACACACCGCAAGTCACCAGAATCTCCATGCAGAATAACACTGCCATCCACGCGATCACTACTGCAGGATGAGAATAATGACTTGGTGAGTTTAGCATTCACTGTTGCCTCATTACGTTTAAAAGTGGAAGTGATATCCACAATACTTTAATCCTGAATAAATACAAGAGTGGTATTTAAATAGCCCGTTGAACAGTGAAAAAATGTGCTTTGCAGTATGCTTGGACAAAACAAATGGCCATGGATTGATATGCATTTATTTGTTTGTTTTGAATAATTCGGAATTATCAATAGTTTAGGTTCGATTCAAAGTGAAGTCAAATACTGCATTATTCATTCGAATACTCGAAGCATTACAGTATTCTCGCAAACCTAAACATGTGAGCTAAATATAGGACTGCATGCGGCAGGGAACTTACGTTTGCATTTCAAAGGCTTTTTCAGTGCATTTGCATTTCAAAGGTGACTAAAAATGTATTAACTAGTCTATGAACCTTAATCTGACAGGCAGCATCGGCTCTCTTCATGCAAGCCTTTGGGGACAAAAAGCATCAGCCATTGATGTGCTTCTCTCTTAACTTTGCAACAATCAAGTTTGATTTGAAAGACAACAAAACTGAATTTGGTGCTCCATGTGGAAAGGAAACTTGGGTCAACTATTACGAGGTATGGGCTGTTTATGTCCAAAACACCATCTTCGATGAGTTAATTAATTTATTTTGTTTCAGACCTGCCCTCGCACCGGAGTCTTTGAGGGCTTTTTCGCGGGATTCAAGACTATGGTGCAGTTTTCAGAAAACACAGTTTGGACGTATGAGGATGAATACACAGTGTCCTGGAAAGTGAGTGCTGGAGTAATAACATTTTCGTGCAGTTGAGCAAAAACAACTACTGCTTTTCCGTGTGCACTTACTGTCATGATTCATATTTTCCTTTTTTTTTCTGAAACTGTTGGAAAATGGACTCTGGAACGTTCTCACTAAGGATAACACGATATTGTAATATGTCATTTACCAAGAGCCTGAGCAGTCCTCCCTCATATAAGATTGCCATGATTGAAAATTGGGTTCACTGCTTTCCTTGTTGATACTGCCTAGTTCTTTGCCATCATTTCAGTATAATGACAGTCCTTCTAAAAATAATAAGATTAGATTAGGCTTCTCCTCTATTTCGTCCCTGTTGTCTCTGTTTTTTGTGCTGCTGTTTTTTTCTCTCTGTGCTATTCACCATTCAAACTGGCACAAAGCTCTGCGACAGTTCTTTTATCCAGATTTAACTCGTGGTGCAAATATTTGTTTTACAATTGAAAGTTCTTGAAGTTTTTTGTTCATCAATAGATGCGTGTTTCTAAATGTTGGTTCAAACTGTTCTTGTATTACAGCTGCTGTCCTATCTCCAGTCTAACCCGATGACTTGTGTAGCTGCTTTCAACCTTGACTATGAAGACCGGAGAGGCGTTTGTCGGCAGCCTTACTCCAGGCTTGCCAGGCTCAGCAATGCTCTTGGTAGGGTTGATCTGTGAATGACCTTAGAGTGAAAAATATAAAAGAAACCTGTTATCACTCTGAAATGCCTGTCTCTTTGATTTGTTAATGTTTTATTTGATAGTGCTCTTTCAACTTAATAAATGTGTCAGTGAAAGTGAAAACAGCACTGCAAGCAAAAATGTGTTCTTGCTTTTAGACAAACTTCAGACTGAAGAGTCCTACAAAGGTAAAGTGCTTTCCTAGCATTGTTGCATACAAAATGCAGCCACTCTGTAAAATAGTCTTCATTAATTTCTGGTATTTTTTTTCTTGCATTCTAGCATCAAAGCTCAATGGCACATTAGGTAAGGTGTTTCTGCTGTGTAATATACTTTGGCATCTACAGTGTAGGCCAACTATTGTAATAAGGCTTCTTTTGCTTCTGAAATTTAGCTGGAACATTTAGCACATTTCAGGTATTTGATGTAATGTTAGTTTGGAAGCCTTTCTTTAAACTAAAAAGTAATAGAATCATCCCTAGTTTGTGCTCTAGTTCAGTTTCGACTACAATCAGCATCTGAGAATAATATTGCAGCACACAAGTTACACATGCAACTGTTAATCATAACATGCTGGCAGTTATTAAAAATTTTAAGCAACATTACACACTTCACTAATGAGAGTCTGTAGAGACACCTCAGACATCTTAACATTTGTTATGAAAGTATACAGGTTTTTCATATACTAACAACTAAGTGGAGTATATGTTTTTTTATAGTGTTTCATGCTAGATATGTTTGTTTTGCTTGATAAAACATAGGTCTTGGTTTTGTTTTTTTGCGGCTGTGTCACCTAAACCAAACAGTAATTATAAAGCAAAGCATTCCATGTTGTATGAACAATAAAACATCTGGACAAAATTATAAGCAGTCAAAAGTACCCAGCCTGGAGCAGATGTTTAAAGTTTTGGCTTTATTCAAATGACCAAAAATCACGTATTTAATTTGAGTCATATGACATGCAAATATGGTATATCATGCAGCCGAACCAGCAACTCCTGAAGTTCCGATGCAGCCCGGAGATTTTGTGGTGAAAAGAGGAGGTGCAACTACAGCCAGCCCCAACAAGAACTATTCAACCAGCTCAAATCGCATGGCATCGATAAGCCCTCCTGACAGAGGAAATATTGAAATTCCAAACACAAGCGGTGAGATTAATGCCAATGTCATATATATTGGTGTCATAAAAAGGTAAAAATAGACCGAGCAGACTAACATATCTGAAATTAAAATAGATATATAAAGTGACCTTCGACATCTGTTCTATAAAACATTTAAAAACAGTGCAGCAAACCTCTCTGCTTTTGTGATTGCAGCCCTGTAAAAACCAAAGAATATTAGATTTTTAAAACATTTTCTTAGTCTACTGTTTACGTTATTCTGATCTTCATTGTGCTTGGAACGTGTGCATATTAAAGTTCTATAGCAATGTAAGCACAAAATAAAAAGCCCTTTGCATGTTAGGATGGGCAGTGCAAAGAGACAATGGCAACTAAACAAAGAGGATGCCTTGGGCATTGATAAGCACTCGTGGCATCTAATGTGTTTCTTCGCCCTCGTATTACTGCTTTTGTTTATTTTCACTGCTTTTGTTTTCACTGCTAATTTCACTCTTTTTGTTTATAGGTAGGGGCCAGCATAAGCAGGCCAGGCACCTTCGAAATCACTTGACATTTAAAAATTATTTAAAAATATAAATGTAGTAAAGAAACACAATTTTCAGTGAGCTTTTCGTTTGTGGTTTGCTAAATTGATGTGCGACATTTCAATTACTAGACTAATATTAGTATAATACCTCTGTGAATGCTTCTAAGGAACTCTTTGCACCTTATCACACATTGCTTTATCAAACCTTTGCAGTTTTGTTTTTGTGTCTGATTCCTTTTTCAAGATATTTTCTTTCTATACTATTTCTGTTATCTAAGAGGTTTAGAATTGAGGATTTTATGTTATGGCACTTCATCATCCAGGTTCATTGGTTTGCATCCTTTCAAATGCCCCGGATGGATTTCCACATGGCTTGTGCACTCATTTAATCTTTAAGGACATCTCATATGACTTGACCAAAAACATTATCAAGGCTACAAAATGTGAGTGACTCTTTCCATGTGTGCCCTTTGTGAAAAAGTAATAGAAATGTTATTAAGGCTTGCAAATGCCAAAAACTTAAAATGCAGTGTTGTTAGAAGCATTGAATGTGTAGCACACACAGTTCTATAATTTTTTTCAATCGTGATTGAAGACCTAAACTGAGAAAATATAAGAGGGAGGGCTAAAGATGTATATACTAAATACAATGCTAATGCTCATAAGCCCGCCAAAAGAGGAACTGCTCATGATTAAAAACAAGTCATTAAAGTTTATGCAAGGATGTGTATTTTTAGGTCAATTACCAACAGATGAGCCCACTCGTGAAAATTAAATATACTGAAGCATAAGGATAAGCTGAAGCACTTTTGGCAAGCACTCCAATAACTGATCGATTACTGTACCTAAAGCAAAAAATATACAATCGCTAAATACTGCCAGTTCTGACAAAAATGGGGCTGAAACCGAAAAGGTAACAAAGAAACCAGCGAAAAAAATTAATAAATAGCTATCGACCACTAGTGAAAACGGTCCCTTTGATTCGCTACTAAATTTTATGAGCACAGAGCTTTGTCAGCCTGCAATATGTAGTTTTTATTCCAGAACACTTCGTTTTTTTCTACAAGAAATAAAAATGCCTTTACTTTCAGTTATTCAGTCAGTTTAATTTTGAGTACCATATTTCATAGGTACAATTCCTGAGTAGATACACAAGTATTTCTGAAGAGACTGCTCTGAGCAATGTGCCAAGTAGTTTGCTGCACATTCACATTGATGTGCAAGAGAAACAAGAAAAAATTAGCTCTTGACGTATCAATAAAAGTCTCCTATGCTTTCTACAAATAAACTTTATGAAGCAATTGAGAAAGTGTGCTAGTTAAGGTGTCTCAATAGATAGAAGGTTCGTTAGAAATGGCTCTCGAGAAAAATGCATGAATGCTTTGAAAGCCTCGTGTGCTCTGCTTAAGTAATCTGGGTGGTTTCTTTCCTACAGCAAACGATCTCCTGGCATTCTTGAGCATGGCAAGAAGATCATCGGCCACAACGGCGATATTAGTTAATGCAGCAGAAAGTGGCCTTATGGATCCTTCACATAGGAATGCCATTAAGCGATTTGCACAGAGCTTGAGCACATGGCTTCGTGAACATGCAGTACAGGGTGCAGCACTGTTTTCAACCCTCCATGCTGACATCAGAGTTTATGACAATGTCGTGCTGGTAAGGTTGGCTGGTTTTACTCATTCCCATTAACAGAGGGGCTACGTGGAGTCTGTAGGGCTGCAAATTTCTAGTTTGGCTTCATTTGCAGACTCTCTGGCGTCATTTTCAAGCTCAAGCTCCTTTGAAATTTCAGCTCATAGCTGGCATCTACTTTGAGCATTTCAAGTCGGCTTCATCTATACAGTCATTGAGCAGGTATGTGCAACATTGCTATTGTGAAGCTTTGCGGTAATGTTACTTGGTTCTCTTTGCGGATGCGGCACAGGCGTGGCTCAGTTTGTAGACGATGGCTGCAGTAGATGAGGCATGATATGAGCAGGGTGCCTAATTGCTATCATTTGTCATTTATATCAGGTGCAGTCTGAGGTGTGTTGTACTGACAGTGTGTTTCTGTAGTAAGAATGCGTGTTACTCAGTCGCCAATCAGTACAAACTTCTGCTACTCATCCTGCCAATGAAACTGCTTATATTTAACCAAATTGTGTTTACCTGGTCTGTATGTCCTAGCTTTTTTTTTGTATATATTTCTTGTCAATAGCTGGTTAATTTGCAATTGGGCACTCCATGAAAAAAATATTTATAATTGTCAGCAGAGGCATCAATTAGTGCTCATTTGCAGCAAAAGCTGATAGGCTCGCGTAATTCAGCTTTTTCAGGGACAATCATTGCCATCTTTTTTATCTGACATCACTCAGGGTAAGTGATCTCGCAACCTTGGAATTGACAAAATGTTATCTTGTTTCTGAAAAAATTCTGAATCGTTGAAAGATACGAAAGATTGTCTAAGTACTTGTAATGTCTATTTAATAAACATTGCCACACTTTGTTCTGTAAAAATGGTGTGTATACGGACTGCTTAATTTTGACTAAACCCTTAGTAAGCAGAAATCTGTACTGCAGACAAAGATGTTTATCAAGTTGTTCGTGCAGCGGTAGACAATGTTCTGTTTGGCATCGTACACTGCTTTTATAAGTTAGCAACACTTTTATGCTGATATCATCATTTTTAACTATGAAAAATCAGATACAGACAGTATCTGCATTCTTTTGAAGTGCATTTTGACTAGAAATAATATTAAAAAAATTGTAAATTCAGTAGGTAAATTTTGATAATTTAAAAAATTATTTAAAAATCTACAAACAACATTTAATAAGATGAAATTTTTAAAGTATTAGTAATAAAAATTTTAGTTTTTCCAAAGGCATGCATGTGAGTTTCTATAAAAATTGGTTTCTTTATTCTTTATTCGAAGTATACCTGCAGCGCCCGAAAGCGTTATAGCAGGGGGTTACAGATTCGAAAAAAACAAATTTTCATTTACAGCAGACACTTGTACACTTGTGAGCCCATTCCACTCATGTATTGTTCTGACAAAAAAAAAGAATTTGCAAAAATTCCAGTCCTGGTACGGTATTCCCTCAGTTTAAAAGGATGATCAATTCGATTTGACAAATAATACGGTGTCTGTAAATACATATCCTTATTGATTCCAGTTTTATTATTAAATATTAGATATAAAAGTTTGAATCGCAATTTTCTTCTAGGCGATGAAAGCAGCTCCCAATTCAATTCTTGTTTCATAGCGGTAGAGCTTTCCCGCCATTGATACCGTCCCAGGACGAACCTTGCCGCCCTGTTCTGTATTTTTTCTATCTTATCACTAAGATATACCTGCGCCGGATCCCACACAGCGCAGGCGTACTCTAAGACTGGTCGTACACACGTCAAATAC